TATCATTTTCGGGGCGAATACAGGACGCCAGCAAAAAAATGAATCAATCTCCATGGTCGGCTTAAATGATCTCGCTGCGAACTCAGGGATTCAACCAAACAGCGCAAACCGCCCCGCAGCACGGAAAACACAGCCGAAGAATATGCTAAACTAGGGCCTAATTATGCACGCGCACATTGCCTTGGTCATAAGTGTTCTCCACTTATCCCGCCCCCCGCCGCCCACAGAAGGATTTTGATAGGTGGATACTTCTGGCGGCTTTCTGTCTCTATAGCAACCTGTTTGCCGGGTTCGCTTTTTCTTTGCTTCAAGTGACTTTCGGCGCCCATTCCCCCTCGAGGCCAGGAGCGAGGAGGGGCGCGCTCATGTAGGTGGCTGGATCAGACGTGGTGGCGGGCTCGGAGGGGCACGCGCGCTTGGGAACGTGTGGAAAAGGAGGCCGCATTGGGATGAAGTGTAGGCTTTGACGGCGCAGGTTCTTAGGAACAAGCTTCTCGGAGCCAACGGTGCTGTTGCCGCTTCTGCCGTTGACCTGCAACTAAGACCGCTGGCCTGCTCTGAAGCAACAGCCACTACCGTTCTCGCCTGAGGGCCCGGGTTAGGGTGAGGGAAGACGGGTCGCCTCGCGAGCCTGTAAACTCTTTTCATTCTGTCCCGAAAGATGAAGACAGAAGGAAAAAAAGGGGGTGGGGGGTGTTGTGTACTAACATACCGAAACTGTTGAGCTGATTTGCTGCGCGCTCTTTCTAAGCATTTCTCTCCCAGCCGTAGCTCACATCTGAGGTGATGCTCTGCAGAAAAGCTCTTGGGGGGGAGGGCTGCAGGGAGATACCCTCCTTTGGCGTTCGTTTTTGCTCTAAAATTGGATCCCTCATTCACGTCCCTATGTCTACATGTTGCTTTCATGCACTCTCATATTTTGTCTGATATATGACAGTAAAAACAAAATCCCGTTCCTACACCCTAATCATTGATAATTTGTGTATGCATCACTTTTACTTAAAGGGGTGTTCTAAAAGCAGCGTGAATATTGGTCAGTCTTCAGTATTTTGCCACTGAGAAAATGCAATTTTTTGCACCATCTATTAGCATTTGGTATTGCTGAGAGCAGGGCTATCATCCTCATAATGCTGCTTTGGAATAACATTAAAAGCCACACAATTCCCTTTCATATTTGGAACTTTTTGTGCTTAACTTCTTAAAGCAAAACAATCCCCCCCCAATAAATATAATCAAAACTCCTCTCCATCCCAGTAATCCACCATTTCATGAACCTTCTATTTTCTTTGCACTGTTTCAAGCACTGAAATATGTATCTCCTTGTTTTATTTATAGAAGCGTTGAATCATATATTTCTTGAATTGTATACAGTAAGGCTTCCCTGCATTCATAATGGGGGTAGTGGGGTAACAGGTCTGAAACTGGAGCAAGATTTCTGCAGTACAGATTTTAATAATTGTTTTAAAATGCGTTAGAATGCCTTACAGAATTTGAGAAAACTGCCCTAGTACAAAAAGCATAATGATTGTTGGAATAGTTCTGAAAAATGGCTCAGCAAGCAGTTAAAAGGGGAGGGGGAAAAGACAGAAAGATTGAAATGGTTCTGGTCTCTCCTCCCCCCTTTAATGGCTGTCCAGCCGCATCTAACAAACCACAAATTACCCATAACAATAGCCAATTTGGTGAAAAATACTAAGATTTTAAGGTTTAGTATGTACATGCAGTATTCCCCTATTCTTTAAATTACAACAACAACAAAAACCAGTGTGGTAGGAATAATTAATCAGGAAATTCTGCACCTGATAGTGCTTATGTATGCCTACCCAGAAGTAAACTTCATTGAATTCATTTTAACTTAGGTAAATATATGAGATTGCACCCTATTATAATACACAAAGAAGCAAAATCAAGACACTTGTAGAACTAGAATTTGTTTTTCTGTACATCAGTGTATAGTCTTCTAATAAAAGTGTGACTTTGCACTATTGTAACTATAATAATGTGATTATATGTCCAAATAAGATTAGGGAGAACAAATGAGTCCCTTGAAGTACAGATTGGAAGTAATATTTGAGTAATTAGCAATACAAAAAAATCTTCTACTGGATCAGGCCAAAGGTCTGTAATCTAGCATTATTTGTCATATGTAGATAAGCCAGATGCATTGTGGAAACTTAAAAGCAGAAGCAAAACATGAGAGTGATACCCATCTTCCACTGTCACACCCTAGCACCTGTTGTGGAGCATGCTGCTTTTGATTCTAGAGGAAATATATAACCATCAAGACCACTAGCCATTGATAGACCCATTAGTGGGCTAGAAAAAAATAAATCAGAATTCCTACTTACATATAAAAAGGTAATGAAAATCAGGATGATGTTCACTAGAATAAATTTGATTTATACAGAAAATGGCTAATATAGTTGAGTGAAAAGGAAATCCTATTCTAGTTAAAACATACAGTGTTTAATAGAGCATATTGCAGATAGTATGTGATAATCTAATGATGTGGCAAAATACTTTATAACTATTTATTTTTATTTTAAGGCAGTGGAAAATTGACTTTATCACAAAATTATGGTGCGATTAACGTTGGAGCTTATTGGTAAAAGCCTTAATCCAAAGAATCGCAGAGAGGAATCTTTCGCCCAACATCTGAGGAAGCTAACACATCTGAAATTATCTAATAAAAATATAGATGTCATTGTAAGAAATCTTTCATTATGTGAAAACATAGCTTTTATTTTATATTTAAGATTTAGCCAGTATTAAATTATATTTAATGTTTTGTTTAATATAAGTTTCCAGTTGGAAATAAATTTCTGATTCTATTTCATGCCCTTGCCTTAATTAGTTTGTGTGTATGTGTGTGTATGTGTGTGTGTGTGTATACACACACACACACACAGTATATATATATTGTATTAATGATAAGTTGTTATTTAATTATTTTCAGGAAAACAGTTTTGGACAGACATAGTTTCATATATAGTAATGTTTGGTGCTGGTAAGTAAATGTTCTCTAGAAATGGGATGTTGTACAAATGTAAAATACTTCATTTAGGCATGAGTAAGAGTTTGGCACATTGAGTTAGGTTTTTTTCCTTTCAAACAAACCAGCACAGAAGTACTTAGGATAGCTTATTGTGTACAAAAGTGATGTGCAGCACAGCTGTGCAAGAATCATATATTTAATGCACCATTAGGTTATGTGGAATCTTTATCATGCATCCCAGACTAATAAATACATGAATAAGATGAATAATCTTATTAAGATTATATTATTAAGATTAATAATCTTAATAAGATTAATAATCTTATTCATGTACTTAGGACTGTACTTAAAATAGTGAGTTTAACATGATTTTAGGGCTTATGAAATCTTGCTGAAGCAGTAAGAATTTTATGAATTTTACCAAATAACATATTTTAATTTTTTCTTGTAGGATGATCTTTCTTTGTGTAAAAATCTTAATGTCCTATATTTATATGATAATCGTATTAGACAAATACATAATTTGGACTTTGCGACAAACCTAAGACATCTGTACCTGCAGAACAATTGCATTACACGAATTGAAAATCTAACATCATTAATAAGACTTGAAAAATTGTAAGTGAAAACTTATGATGTTTCTGTTTTTATTGATTCATGTGTAATTGTGATGGAAGGCATGAGCAGGGAGGATTCTGGAATGGAGCTTCAAGGTTACAGGGAGGGGGGAGAGACATTCCAAGGAAAGCATCTCCTCAGACCCCAGCTGGAC